GTCAAGCGGTCTACAAATACATATATAGCATCATGACCTGTATCGGTCCTAGGCAAACCCATGATAAAATCCATCGAGATATCTGCCCACGGCTGACTGGGCACTGGTAAATTCTGCAACAGACCAGTTTTTAGCTGGCCGCCTTTAACTCGTTGGCAGACGTCACATGACTTGACAAACGCCTTTACATCCAGTCCCATTCTGGGCCAATAGAAATATCTAGAGAGTCTGAAATAGGTGCGATCTCGACCGGGATGCCCCGCAGTCACACAGTCATGGTATTCTTGAAGCAGGGCGAGTCGGAGTTTGCTACTCTTTGGAATGCATAACCTGTTCTGTGGTGAAGATCTGAGATAAAGATAACCGGGTGTTTCATTTAGAAGGTAACGGTCGTGCAGATTGTCATGGCTTGAATTTTTCAGTCTCCTGATAATGGGAGCAAGATCCTTGTCGCACTTGTAACCGTTGACAATTAACTGCGCTAAGTCTGGATTAATCTCTAGGGTATGCTCTATGGCATTCAACTGAATGTTAGGAGGATAGGATGACCCGCCTATTTCAGAATCACTGAACAGATCTGGACGGCGTGAAAGCGGGTCGGCAATGTTTTTCTTTCCTGGTTTGTGAAAGACCGTAAAGTCATAGTCAGCTAAAAACTCTACCCATCTTGCCTCACGCTTGGTGAGAGTCGGTTTGGTTCGTAAATAGACAACACCCATATTATCAGTCATCAGGTCAAAGTGGCGGAATAGATAGATTCTCCAGCACTTTAATGCAAATACCACAGCCAACGTTTCCCTCTCGGCCGCAGTATAGTTGCGTTCTGCAGCTGACAGTTTCCGACTACAATAGGCTACGGGATGCAAATCCATATCTTCTCCCTGCTGCAGGAGCACACCCGCCACGGCAAAGTCACTTGCGTCAGTTTCTACCATGAAGCTTTTCTCAACATCGGCCAGTTGCAACACTGGCGCCTCGAGTAATGCTGATTTTAGAGACTCGAATGCCTTCTGTCTAGCAGCGCTCCATTCAAAGCGTGAATTTTTTCCGGTGATTTCTTCTAATGGACGAGAGATGGTCGAGTGTCGATCTATGAACCTTCGGAAATAGTTTGCAAAGCCAAGAAACTTCCTCACATCAGTTACTGACGACGGAGTTGGCCATGTTTCCACAGCACTTATCTTCTTGGGATCAGGGGAAATTGATGTGCCGTTGATTTTATGCCCCAAGAAGAGAACTTCTCTCACGCCGAATTCGCATTTAGACTGTTTGCAATACAGCTCACTATTTCTAAGTGTTTCTAGAACTGTTTGAAGATGATGCTGATGATCTTCCCAGGTCTTGCTGAAAACTAGAATGTCATCCAAGAATACTACAACGAATTTTCGGAGATGCGGTTGCAGAATAGAGTTCATGAGAGACTGAAAGGTGGCCGGGGCATTAGTCAGCCCGAATCCCATGACTCTAAATTGGAAGTGGCCGAACGGCGTATTAATGGCCGTCTTAGAAACATCCGAGTCTTGAATTCTGATTTGATTGTAGCCTGACCGCAAGTCCAACTTGGAGAAATATGCACTGCCCTGGATCGTGTCGAATAAGTCATCAATATTAGGAAGACAAGCTTTGTTTTTGATCGTAATTCTATTCAATTCTCGCCAATCGCACACCATTCTCAGAGTACCATCCGACTTTTTCACAAAAAACACAGGTGCACCGTATGGCGACTTACTTGGCTCAATGAATCCCTTCTCAAGTAATTCTGATAGCTGTGACTGGAGCTCGTCCATCTCTGGTTTCGGCAGGCGGTAGGCGGGTCGAGACGGTGGTCTGGCTCCATCTTCTATCTGGATTTCATGGTCGACTGGTCTCTTCGGTGGAAGCTCATTCGGCAGCTCGTCTGGAAATAAATCCTGGTACCTCTTGAGCAGGTTCTGGATGTCTTGTTGCTCTGATTCCTGGAGTTGTGGCCCGGAACGATTCTCCTCGTTTGCAGCAGTGACCCATGCAAGAAACCCCTCGGCTCCACTCCTCAGGGCATGACGAGCTTGTCGGCCACTGATAAACATGCTTTCCACAGATGGCCGGTCGGCTGTCGGCGGGTTAGCTGAAGGCAATTTGGCAACAAAGGGCTCACCGTCCAACTGAACTTCGTTCGTACGGAAGTTGATGCTGGGGTTGTTCCTTGTAAGCCACGGCTTGCCAAGAATAGCGTCGTAGCGAGTCAGGGGATACACAGTAAAGTGCTGTTCCTCACTGAAGCCCCCGACTGTCACCCTTAGCGTGCGTGTGGAAATCTGCGGGACCTCGCTGGTCGAGCCGTCCGCCAATGTTACGCTCAGCACTGCTGAGCTTGCATCCGTGTCAAGATGATGCTTTCGAACAAAACTGTCTGCAATGAAGTCATGCGTCGAACCGGAATCTATCAGCATCACTGCACGGCGACCGCCGATCTTTCCCTGTATGCGCAGTAGGTCGTGTTCAGGTTCATTGCCGACGCTGACGTTGCTGACATGACACCTTTCTGCAACGGGACAATTTCCTACAGCTATGGGTGTCTCCGGCTCCGTAGGTTCCTGGAGAGCAACGTCTTCAACCTCCAGAGCTCCGAACCGGTTAGCGACTGGTACCGGCGTGGGCGCTTGGGTCGTCGCCAGTAAGCGCACCCCCTTTCTTACTGGCGACCAGCGTTTGGGTAGCGCTGTCCACCCTCAGTACAGTCTTTAGCGAGGTGGCCTGGCTTCCTGCAAGCAAAGCAGTGTCCCATTGCTCGCAGTTGGACACGCTCTTGGTCCGTCAGCTTGCGGAGGCCCTGACCACGGAAGCTGGGCACGGAACGCGACTCTCTACTGGCTGGTGGCCCCGACGCCGGTGGCCCTGACGACTGCTCCACGGTGTTTGCTGCCATGACAGCTTGCTCCAGGGTACGTGGATGCTCACGCATGACCTGTCGCTGGATGTGCGGCACTAGACCCCTGACGAACAGCAGCGCTCTGGTGTGGTGGTCGATTTCCGGCACTTGCAGGCTGAGGCGAGTGAAAGCAGCAATGTATGCGTCCAGCGACCCGCGCTGCGCTGCGGAAATTAGTCCCATACGCGATGTTTCCTCGTTGTGCCGTGGTCCGTACACATCGCCAAGTGCCGCTTTCAGAGCAGGCCAGTCGGAAAACACTTGGTTAGCTTCCAATGCCGCTATCAACCAAAGACGAGCGTTTCCAGTCAAAAATCCTGCCGCGTAGTCGACCCTCTGTGCCGCATTTGGGAGTGCCAACGACCGTAGGGCCATGTCCATTGCAAACGTCCATTCTTTGAATGTAGCGGAATCTCCTCCAAACACAGGCGGCTCTTTCGTAAGGCGGGGTGTTGGCTCCCACGGTTCCGAGTTCGGATGTATCGTTCGGTGTCCTTGGCTAACGCGCTGAGCGGTCTTGATATCGTTTATCAGCCGAACGACGAGTACGAGGAGCGTAAGCAGAGCGACCAGAACACCTGCCAAAAGCAGAGTAGTAACCATCCTCTGCTACCAATGTAACAGGTTTAATCAAACTTGAAGAGTAAGAGCCCTGGTTGAGCGTGCCTCGACCAGTTATATGCAAAATGTGATAGTATACATGTGGCAATGGCGCCAATGAAGGTGCTAATAGACAGGCGTAAGACGCACGAGGTGCGAGGGAGTGTAAAGTTATAGAGAACAGGGGAAAACTGTTACAAACACAGCGACTTGGCGCTTTGTGTTATGCTTTCCACCTTTTAGACGTGCCCGGTCGCATCCAGGCCTACAATGCCTTTGTGCGCCCAGTGATGAAGTACTGCTCCATCGGCTGGATATTAGCAGCCTCATCCCATCTTCCTAGACTCGACCGTGTGCAAGCCCGAGCCATCCAAACCATCGCCCCAATGTTTTGGCTACCGAGTCTTGCTCTTCGTCGGATGGTTGCAGCACTTTGCCTCCTGTACAAGATGGATTGTCCAGATGCACATCCCCTTCTACAGAGGATGCTGCCACCCCAGCAACCCCAACATCAAACAGTCCACTCCACCTGTAGTACGATTTAGAGATGTTATGCCCATGCACACCAACTGGCAAATGAACTTCCAGTCCGTTCCCGAAACAACCTGTGCCGAGCCTACCCTCACACAGTTGTCCCCGTCTGGAACCAGCTGCCCGCCGGAGTCTTCTCTGGTCCATTCTGCACCAAGAACTTGCAACATTAAAAGGTTGCAGCCAACCATTCTTTGAAGACCAACGACTGGTCGTGGGCACATGACCATCTCTGAGTATCAGCATCACATCTGCCTCAGCCCATGACTTTTATATTCTGCTCCAAATACTCCTCCCAATAACAACTGTTCTTCTTTTCTCTCATTCTCCACCTAACACTGGCTGTGTGATCTTTTCCTCCTTGAAACGTCCTGTCTCTCCTCCTAACATTTCGTATCATGTACCTGTCACTCCTTTCAATTGTTTCTTCTTCTTTCTTTTTGGTGTGTTTTATGTCCCCATGACGTCGAGACCTCAGGTTGGCTGAGGGCAAAAAGCCTTACCATCGCTATGCTCCCACTATGCAATCTTTTTGTCTTTGCCTGTGAGCTGTGTTCATTGTAAATAAAATAAAAAATGGTCGCACTCATTGACTGTATAAGGTCTGGTTACGTTGGTGGACAGTTAGTCATAACTCGGAACATTTTGTCCTTCTCCTTTTTCAAAATAAATTATGTACAGCAATGTAGTGATAAAACCAGGTCAAAGCAGAATAGCTAAAAACAACGATGATTAATACGTGACCAATATACATCATGCCTATACATAATTCATTGTTCTTGCTCTCATTTGCTCATGCCGCTATATTACCTTGTTGATGCGGAAGGAGACAATGTACGGGAGAAGGTACGTCACAACATGAAGAGAAGGCACGGAAGTTTACTCGCAAGAAAGTATTCAACTGCGTAATTCTTCTTTCTGCTCATAAAAACGAGCATGCATCAGGGATAATCTGACTTACATTATTCCTTGGTTCCAACGAATGTCCAGAAGTGAGAAGATAGTCCACTGTGGAAACCCGACCATATAATGCTGCTTGATGTAATGGTGTTGCACCATCCTGGAAGTAGCAGCAAAGACAAGACATGTACACACATACCCACATTCATACACATGTTGATGCACACGCACCCTTGCACGCCTGGTCCTGGTCCTGGTATACACTGCCATGTAGGTCACGTGTTTCTCGTTGAGCGAGACGGAGACGAGAGGAGACATGAGCGTTGGTGACGGGATAAGTCGTTTCGCCTTTTGAAACGCCTCCGGCAATTCTGACATTGCAATTGGAACTTGTCCCTTTCATCAGCAGTTGGGCGCCTGGTGGATCGGTTGCAGTTGTGGATAGCAAAGCCCCGGATCGACTTACAGCAGCGTTCACAAATGGGACAGTGAGCGGTACCGCACGGTTTCCGAATACATAGGCGTACAGGTGAAGAGCTTGTGGCATTGGCAACATTCGGGGCAGAATTGGACTGGACACAGCGATGGACTACAATGCCACCCGCACTCCGAAACCATCGGTGACACTGGGAGCACTGGCGGCTGTTGGCTTGCTGCTGGACTGGTTTACGCCGTTCCATGATGCACTTGTGGCGGGCGATATCTTGCTGCCGAGCAAATGCACGCCGGCACACCTCGCAGACTATCTCCCGAGCCGGTTTCTGAGCTGGTTGTATTGCTCGATAAGCTTGCCGCCACTCAGATCGTTCCTGCGCTGTGTCAAACCATGACTCGTCGGCGATGTTTATTCGTCGCAGGTCGACCCTAATTGCGTCTCGCCATCGTTTCCGCGGGCCACACGCTGGGCGTGGTGGCAGCAATGTGCCAAACAACAACATCCGCGGCATCCGCTCCTCAGGCATGCGTACCACGTGCCCAAGCCATTCCAGTCTTCTCTGCATGAGGCGGTCGGGGATATCCAGTGGGTTTGCTGCATTCCATGTTTTCAGAATGGTGTCCTTGGCTATCTTCAAGTCCCACACATCCCGCTGTGCAACACTCATGATGGAAAGAAGCGACCGGTAGTAGAAGGTCGTGATCCGTTGCACATCACTTTGCAGCGGTACCCACGTCTCCGCACAATAGAGCAGTAAGGACAGAACACAGGCCTCGAAAACCAGACGCTTGGTGCGCAGAGAGAGATTGTGGTCATTGAAGACAGCATGACGGAGCGCTCCAAAAGCACGGGAGGCAGATAAAACACGGGTCGATACATCTTTGTGAGATCGGCCAGAATCATGGATAACAGCACCCAGGTATCGGAACTCACGCACACATTCCAATGTGCCATTCTTCACAGGAAGAGGAAGTCGGTCATCATCCGTGATACCATAGCCAACCGCCATAAATTTGGTCTTGTCCAGATTGACGGTCAGACCAAATGCAGACGAGACATCGATGAACATATCCAGAGCAAGAGCAGCAGCAGTACGGGTAGTGGCAAACAGTGCAGAGTCGTCAGCGAACTGGCAGTCGTTGATGGTAGTCTGATCGTCAGTACGCTTTCTCTTGAAATAAAGCGAGCCCCCAGGATTGAATGCCAACGGGACGCCGATACCAGGCACATGCTCGACCACTCTGGACCATCTCTGGAAAACAGCCCACATGAATATGTTGAATAAGACTGGTGCCATACAACAGCCCTGCCGCAAACCACTCTTCACTGCAATGGGTTGGATGGGTGTTGACCCGATGGAGAGAGTAGCCGACATGGAGGTGTGAAACGACTTGATGATGTTTACGATGTTACTAGGGACCCCTGCCTTCGCGAGAATCAGCCACATGCATTCACGGTTTACTGAGTCGTACGCCTTACGTAAATCAACAAAGACAACGTATCCCGGGCAGCGATGTTCGTACAACTTCTCCAGGACTTGGCGAACTGCAAACACCATGTCTGTGCAAGATCGACCCTTACGAAAGCCGCACTGGGAGTCGGGTAGAATATTCTCCGCAATAATCTGTAATCTGGACTGAAGTACTCGAGCAGCAACTTTCCCAACAACATCCAGGAGTGATATGCCACGCCAATTATCACACAATGAGAGGTTACCTTTCTTTGGGATTGGCACAAGGTTGCAGTCTACCCATTCCTGCGGAACAGCCTCGTCATCCCAGACATGGTGCAACAGATCCAACAGTGCCTCCATGAAACTCTCACCACCCGCTTTGACCAACTCAGGCAGGATAGCTGAGGCGCCAGCGGCCTTGCCGTTGCTGACTTGTCGAATAGCTCGCGCCACCTCTGCTGCATCCGGCTTGCCAGCGATGTTCTGGTTGATAGGCTGCTGGTCTATTTCGTCAATGGCACATGGATCAAATGTGCTAGGGATGTTGAGTACGCCATCGAAATGTTGGTACCATCGTCCACCTTGTTCCTCCACAGATTTGCAGATGTTGCCATTTGCATCCCTAATAGCGGTAGTAGACACAGGGCGTAATCCCTGCTTGGCAGCCTGCATATCCTTAACACATGCCCACACCCGTGAGGAACTGAACCGTGCACCATCAAGAGATTTGGCTTTGTTGGTGAACCAGGAGTTCTTGGCAGAGCGGACAGC